CTCACTGAAGCTGCAGCTCACAGATTGCCTGGGCTCAGGGACCTGCCTGTCTCTACCTAGCCAAGGAGCTCAGGGACCTGCTGTCTCTACCCAGCCAAGGAGCTCAGGGACCTGCCTGTCTCTATGCCCTAGTCCTGGATTTGTAGACACCCTGGGATGACTGTGTGTGTGTGTGTGTGTGTGTGTGTGTGTGTGTGTGTGTGCTGGGAATCAGACTCAGATCCTTGTGTTTGTACATTAGCTGCAGCCATCTCTCCTGCCCCGACACCTAGAATCTAAACCAAAATTTCCCATGACTGTGAATGGCATTGTATCTTGCATTTTCTAATCACCAGAAGTCTATGGATGGTGAAATAAGTGAAGGTAAGGGAAGCTTTCCTGGACCATCTGGCCATAGTACCAAAAATACACTTTGGAAATGTAAAATTCATCAAACAATCAAAATATCTAAGAACAGGGGACAATGGGAATGGAGTCAATCCTGCTCCAGGAGAGCTAACACCCTCTTCCAGCTCCCACATCAGGAAGGCACGCAGTACAGATACATACAGGCCGGCAAAGGACTCACAAGACTAAAACAAACCCTTTTTTTTAAAGAACAGAATTAAGGGATAACCTTGCCTTAGAGCTGAAAATAAAAAACTAACATTTTTACCAGCGTAAGAATGCTGAAGATGACTACAATGAGTGTGAGTTCTTGGTGACAGAAGTAATCTACCAAACAAAAGTGATCAGCCACGCTTGTTTAACACACAGGAACACATGTGCCTGCGCCTGGAATTGTGGCCCAATTCCTCTCCACCCAGCAGTCATAGACCTACAAGACTTGACAATGGGGAGTATTCATTTAGCGCCTTGTGAACAGCGCAGGAAATAGAAGCAAGGCGGGCATGATGGCTCACTAAGGGGACAGAAGCAGAGGAATTAGGAGGCCAAGGCCATCTCCGGTTACACGGTGAGTTTGAAGCCAGCCTGGGATACACGACAAGCAGTTAGGAATTATAGACAGCTGGAGGCAGATCTCTGCAAAACCCACACAAAATAATAGCAGAGAAATAGACATTGGGCCTCAGCTGAGTCTGTTTCTTGCATGTAAAATGGAGACAATATCACCCTCCTGTGCACAGAAGCCTTCCTCCATAGGTCAGATTGGGCGATCTGCATCAAAGCGCCCTGGGCGGGTTGCCCAACACACAGGGGTGTTTGATGGGTGGATGATGATCTAAGGATAAAGAGTGAGTACTGACAAAGAGAATGATGGAACCAAGACTCCAAAGGATTTCGACAGATTAGAACTATAGGGAACTGTTGACATGACTCTAAATCAAGACAAACCAGAGTCCTCCAGAGAGGCTGACAAACAGGACCGCGAAGGAAGGCGTGCTGGGGTGAGAGGTGGCCAACCACAGCCGTGATGAAGTGGGGGTTGATGGAGTGGTGTGGTGGCCAGACAAGTGAGGCAGTCCTGGGCTGCACTGCAGAGGCTGGAGAAGAGACAGAGGAGAAGGAGGATGACATAGCCCAAAACCTAGGGTCTTGCACATCATGCCAACTGAAGCATACTGTTGGTTCAAGGGAAATATTTGAATTCAGCTAACTCTGGCAGGGACCCCTGGTATTCATCTTCCTCTATAAAGGCTTGAGAGCACCGAGAAGACAGCTGGTGTGACAAAGGAATAGTGACCCAATCCAGTACCGGCATTTACTTGTTGTGTGACCTTAAGAAAATTACTTAATCCCACCAAATCTTTCCTGTTTCCTCTCGTCTGATGGGAAGACATCTACTGCTCTGCAGAATTAGAGATTAAACAAAACCACACGTGACGTGTGCCCTGCACAGAGCATCTACGCAGAGAGGACAAGCAAAGGACAGAAGACACTCAGTCACTCGCCTGGGAATTCATCCTGTGGGCAGCACAACTCATTTTGACCCTCGATTTCCCCCGATCTCGTCATTGTGTGCTAGGACAGTTCTTCCCATCTGTCCAGAAGGGCTCAGCAAAGACAGAGCCAGAAAAGACAACTGTATGTCACCTGCTCCGTGACAGACCAACAGAGTGGCAGGCTCTCATTCCCTAGATCTTCACATGTTCAAGTCTGAGGCGCTAGCTGAGGACCTACTGTGTGCCCACATGTGTAAACATCCCCCCCCACACCGAGTTTATAATCTAGGAGGGAAGTCAAGTGATGGGGTTCAGGGAAAGAGGGAGGGAATTAAAAACAACACGAGTCATTCCTAATTTTGGGAACTTAAAACTCGGACTTGTAGAAGTGGAAGCAGAGTGTGGAGGTCAGTAAGGAATTCCTCAGCTTTCCTGCAAAATAACTACATCACTTGGGTCACAGGGTCATCCAGCCTCCCTTCCAGGGGCCCCCATCTTCCTGCCCAGGAGGCGACATTTCTCGCTTCAGTCCACTGTGGAAAGACCTCCCGAAGTTTACACCACACCACCCAGGAATTGCAGTTCCTCCCACCACTCCTTCCATGTAATTAATGCCTTCCCCCTTTCAAAGATCAGCTGTAAGTTCCTGCCCTTTACAGCCCTGCCTGGCAGAACCTGCTGCTCCAGCAACACACCTGAACCTGCTCTGCCTGCCCCTTAAGCTCCTGAAAAGAGCTTCACATTCCCCAGAACCACTACACCCTGGCCTTCTGCCCTCTTCTCCCATTCTCGGCATCTGTGGTCCCCTCAGGGACACAGCACAGGTGGGGGCGTGGAGCTAAACCCTGAGTATCTCCTGAGCTAAAGTTTGATGTCAGCACACATTCCCCCCCATCCTGTCCCCTGTCCATTCTAGCATATTCTAGAGAAAAGGTAAAAGCTGTAACCAGATGGCCACACAGAGACAGAAAGCGAGATACCCTGAGGGACAAAGGGAAAACAAGAAATAGAGACAGGTGAAGATGTGGGAAGGAGAAGAGCAAAGACAGAAACAGAAGAAGAAAAAAGGCAGAAATGTAGACAGACAGGGCAGGGACAAAGGGGAAGAGCGTGGAAACATTGGGGACAGACACAGGACAGGGAAAGGGCATCACAAAGGACAGCAGCAACTGGACACAGGGAAAGGGACACGGGACAGAGGCAACAGGACACAGGGCAGGGAGAGGGACACAGGACAGCGGCAACAGGAGATGTGCTCTCAGGCTGAGGCCACCAGGGAGAGGATCACAGACTGCCCAGAGGGGACATACATAGATCCTGGAGAATATAACTCCCCAGATCTCACCGTTGGTGAGGAAGCCACCACAAGGTGGGGACAATGAATGACCTAGAATTAGGGAGTTAATCTGGCAGATCACAGCAAGTGAGCTGGGTTGAGTCATAAAAACGGTGGGATTTTCCACTCTGCAGCAAGTATTCAAGACTGAGTGGGAAGACACCACCTTCCTCAGACAACCCCACCCAAGCTTCATTCCACAGACACTTAGCTGGCCCCAATAAGAGGCCTGGCCCTGGGTGGGGCCCTGGAGACATTACCACAAAGAGCAGGTCCAGCTCCCAGGGAGGCCAGGATTGAGAGGGGGAGCAGGAGGAGGGAGAAGCCACCAAGAGGCCTGTGAAAAAGTCTGTGGGCACCAGAAAGTGAGTGTTCTGGAAAAGTTAACCTTCAAAAAGCACCTTTAGAAGCAAAGCAAGAGGAACTGGAGGCATCAGGATGGAAACAGAGGCATAGAAAGCAGACAGGTAGAGGGGTGGGAAAGATGAGGCAAGAGGCTGCAGTATGGTCCACCAGGGGATGCTGGTAAGGGTGCCCCACCCCAGACCCAGAGTGCCTTCCTTTAACTCACTGGAGGGAGAGGAACAAGCCATGTACCTGCTTGAAGTTCAGACTCAGGTAAAATAGGGGCTTTGCGCTTTGCAGTGTTCAATTCACAGACTGCCTGCTTAAACCATGGAAAACAACCAAGTCAGTGAACTCAGGAGCCGGGCCTAGCTCCAGAAGGCCAGCAGTCCTGAAGGATGCACCGGCTCTTCTGCACCATAGGCTCTCTCAGGCCTGTCAGCCTGTGGGTTCCTCCATGCCCATCACAAAACTCGGTCCACACAGAGCTCCCTCGTGTGGCTGAGGCTGGTGTCTGCTGAGGTGAGGAAAGCATACCACCCCCCTAACACACACATTCCCCCACCCCCTCCCTGCCCAGAGTCACAAACAGGGTTAAAAGTCAGCTGCACCGGCACTGCAGTGATGCCTGTCACTATTCACGCCCCCTTCGGTGACTGAATGTCAAGAGTGGGTTCTAAGGTTCCTGCTCACAGCCGTTCCTTCCTATCAGCCATCTGAGGCTGCTGTTAGTATACACTCTACTTTGACTGATGGGGAGCTAGGAAGAAGTTCTCAAGAAAAAGACACAGAAGGGGCAAACTGCCTGCAATGGGCTTCCTCAAAACTGATTTTGAAAAGGTCCTTGCCAGCTGAGGGCTTAGCTAAACTCAGAGAGTTTAGTTAAAGCATATACTTAAAGTCTGTAAAGTTAGATAGCTTGGAGTAAACAGCAACCGAGAGACAGAGACGGGGGGGGGTGAACACAACACCCCTGGAGTTCCCCTCCAATATGATGTTTTCTAGATCCATCCATTTGCCCACAAATTTCAAGATGTTATTATTTCTTTCTGCTGTGTAGAACTCCATTGTGTAAATGTATCACATTCTCCTTATCCATTCTTCAGTCAAGGGGCATTTAGGTTGTTTCCAGGTTTTGACTATGACAAATAATGCTGCTATAAACATAGTTGAGCACATGTCCTTGTGGCACAATTGAACATCCTTTGCATATATACCCAAAAGTGGTATTGCTGGGTCTTGAGATAGGTTGTTTCCTAATTTTCTGAGAAATCGCCATACTGACATCCAAAGCCCCTGTGTCCTTGAGGCCTGGAAGTGGGGATTTAATTGTAGAGAAGGGACATCTACTTTGGGGGCTAGTAAGAAAAATCAATAAACCAAAATTGATGCCTTAGTCCATTTTGTGCTTCTTTAACAGAATACTCTAGACTGGGTAATTTACAAAAAGAACAACTTTATTCTGTGTAGTGTGAACACTGTGAGGTCGGCATCCAGCCAAGGCCTTCTTGCCATAGCAGCCCCGGCAGAGTTGGAAAGCACCAGGGGGTAGGAGGGGCACACTCATTTTTATAACAAACTCATTTTCACAGCAGCAACATGAATGCATTGGTTACCTCTAAAAGAGCCCATCTCTCAGCATTATGGCCTGTCAGGGATTGAACTTCTAATATGTGAATGTCTCAAGGTTCATTCAAACTGTGGCAGGTGGGTTAGGTGAGCTATTTCTTAGCATCTCATGACTACTTCCTGTATGGGAGGTGTTAAAATTCACCCTTGCTGGGAAGTCTGTCCCCAGCCTCTATCCACTCAGAAAAGATCACACTGTCAAAAGTTTCTGACAGAAAGGCCTGTGAGGTTGGCATTCTACCTCTGCTGCGTGTAAATTAGAAACAGCCTGAACCACTGAACAAATCATTCCTTCTCCTGGTGACATGCCCAGGAGGCCTTCGGAAAAATGACAATTAGATTGAACAGAGTCAATCTAAAGACATCCAAGAGCAAGAGTTCATGAAAAGCAAATGCCTGAGTAAATGTGAGGTTGGAAAAAGCTCACCGTGTTACAAGAGATGTGTAAACACTCCAAAAGCCCAACCTGGGCACCAAAGGAGCCTTCACAGATGGGAAAACATGCTCGTGCATCCTTCTCTTTGTGTCCAATACAGCAAGAACCAGCCTGTGTACATCCTTGGAACAGCAAGTGAGGGAGAGGGGCTGTCCTCTGGGAGGGAGGAGCTGGCTGGGGTGCTGCAGAATACAAATGCTCTGGGCCCTCTCTCAGCTCAGCAGGGCCCAGCCAGGTCCAGGCAGACCACAGACACTGAACAGCAGCACCTCTGAACGCAGCTCTTCATGGCTGCTCTTCGGAGTACTTTGTGGACAAGGCGTAGAAGACTGGAAACAGGACTCCACAGGCAGCTTGTGCCTCCTGGAGGGACCAGTAGACTGCTGGACCTGTCCAGCAGGGCAGTGATGAACGAAGTGAGCAGGCAGGAAGGGACTGGGATCAGCTCTTTCATCCAGTTTTTTGTTTTGTTTTGTCTGTTTTTGTTTTTTTTGGGGGGGTGTTTTTGGTTTTTGTTTGTTTGTTTGTTTGTTTGTTTTTACATCAAACATCTGTAGCATGCAATGTACCAGGCTCAGCTCAGGAACCATCGTGGGATATGTAATGACAAAAAAATATCAGCTGCTGTCCTGGAAAATACGACAACCCAGGGGAAAATAGATATGTCTGTGGGGAACCTCAGCCCTTCAATATGTATTCAAACGTGTACAAGTCAGGTATGTGCCGAGGAGGGCTGGGCTATGGGTGAGCATTGGAGCTGCCAGACAGACCATGGATGATTGCATACAAGGCAGGGGACAGATAACAAGGGGAAGAGCCTCACTGGCTGAGCAGGTGGGCGTCCTTTGGCGAGGAAGTTGAACAGAGGAAACAGCACCCAGACCCTGAGGATGGTAAGTGCAAAGCTTGGGAGACATTAGAGGATGTCAATAAGACAAGATGCTGCAATTGTGATGCAAGAAGGGGAACTAAGAGAGACAGTGAAAAGAGGAGGGACAGAGGTGCCTAGCCAAGGTGGGAGGTAAGGACAGATATCCATCAGGACCAAGAGCATCCTCAGATGGGACTGGGGCCTCCCTCAGTGCTTGAAGTGAGGCCATGTCTTGATGATGTCATACAGTGCCTGTCCAGGGGACAGGATGTTGGACACATCACTGTGGCCCATTAGCAGGTAGTTGGGAATCAGGTATCCCTCGACCACGGCACACTGAATCAAGTCCTGGGCTGCTTTCAGGGCAGCTGCATTTGGAGGCTGTTCTGCAAAACACATTTACCCATAAACATTAAGATCTCAAAGCGGCTTGGCTATGGCAGTGAAAGACACCCAGATTCCAGTCTTAACCATCTCCCACCCTGGCCTGTCCCACAATTGTCATAGCCAACAATTAATTAGGCATAAAGCAAGGCAAAACTATTTGGTTTCCTAATTCCAGCTGACCAAAATTTCTTTAGAAAACTCAGAAGTGCCCTGGAATATAACATACAGGATGGCACAGTTTCTCAGAATGTCCAGGACAGACACAGCCCATGGGATTTTCCTCTGCTTTGTCATCACAGACAACGCTGCATCCCAACATCATTGCCATGGTTACTGAGGAAGGACACACATTTCCCACATGAGACATAAAGATACCAAAGTTTTCAAAAGACATTTTTTTCTCCTTTGCTCCGGGCTTGCCTTGGGTATGTCCATAAAGGAGATAGTCTGGGGTGGATGTGGGCGAATCGGGAGCAAACATTCTATTTGGGAGATGCTGCTAGTAGCAGTCATTCCTTACTGAGGGTTTTCTAAAATATCCTGTTGATGCTACCAGGTACTTCCAGTGTCACAAAGCTGTTCCCATCTTCCCGGTGTTTCCTGAATGTTCCACATGATATCTCCTTAGGCAGAACCCTCTGCCCCATTTATGCCTTACCTGCAAAGTTTCCCATGAAGGCAATTCCTAAAGCAATGTCATTGTATCCATAGGTGTGAGAGCCTTCGATATTCCAGCCAACTCCTTCATATACTCCACCATCCTGGCCCACCAGAAAGCTAGGATTGGGTAAAAGGAAACAAGAGAGTCTCAGGAGCGCAAGTTCCTTCATCCATCCCTTCAATCACTAATCTGTCCTTCCATGCATTTACCGCGTACTGCTGGATGTCCTGTATGTGCCAGTGTGCAAAAGTCAGGAGCAAAAGCACAGCTCTGTACCGTGCCTCCGTCCCCACACATCTCGCCTCCCTTTCCTTAGCCATTGTGTTTCTCAGAGCCCTGTGCTTCCTCCTTAGGACCCCGACCTCACTCTTCTCCCCTCTACCGAGTACATTCACCCGGACTAAACCGTCATCCCCTCCCACAGCTTAAACTACTAACTATAAAAGTCAACATGTCGAAGAAACTAGTTGCCTTTTGCACCTTCTGTAGTCAGAAAATGAGGTGTCATCCTAAATCCAGCATTTCCCTCTCCCGGCCCCATTCAGCTACTACCCATACCTCATCAATTATGTTTTATTACAAAGCTTTCAACTTCCCCACTACTCCTGTCCAACTGTTGCTATCCAGCTCCAACTTGGATTACTATAACTGCACCCTGCCCAGAGTTTTCCCTCCTTCCAACCCACTTGTAAAGTCATACCCAGAAGGCTGGGGAGAGGGTTCCACACTTCAGAGTACTTAATGCTCTTGCCCCAGACATGGGTTTGGTTACCAGCATCCACACAGTGGCTCACAACCACCTTTAACTCCAGTTACAGGGGGTCCAACACCCTCTTCTGACCTCTGCAGGCACCAGGCATGCGTGTGACACACACACACACACACACACACACACACACATCACAACATGAAAGGGTGTGACTTTCCAAACACTCTCCAGTTCCCCTTCACACAAAGCCAGTTTTCAGTTTTACTTACAAGATCCACATAGTGGTTGGGTTCCTACAGACCCCACCTCACTACCCTTCTCTCGGAAATCCAGTTTCAGGTTTGAGTGGGGCATGTTCTGTTTCTTCGAAGACACACGCTCTGCCTATAGCCCAAGCTTTTGAATGTTATTCTTCTTTAGCTAGACTACTTCCTCTTTGCCAACCAACCCCCACACCTCATTCATGTGCCAATAGAGATGGCCCTCTTCATTAGTTCTTCCCTGACACCTTTCTTTCCTCCAAAGACTTCTGGACTCATCTTCCCTGTGCCCTGATCTTCTTCCAACACTGTGTTGACATTCTGCATTGTAATTATCTGTTTATTGTTTTCCTCAAGCCCACAAGGGAAGAGACGATATCAATCTTGCCTAGCCTTAGACAGAGTAGGCACCCAATAAATGCAAGTTACAAAGTTAGCTGAGGCCTGAGTGGGTGCCTCACCCAGTTACAGCCATGTCAGTGTTGGTAACCGCACACCTCACACAGAGGTGGGCAGATTCCACTGTAGGTTTACAAGTTGAGGAACAAGAATCAGCTCACCCGGTGTTTGCCAGTTTGTGATTTCCAAGTTTGTGGTCAGTTCCCTATTACCTGCTGTGACCATAGCAAGACTACAAAAAGTCCTGGAACAATAAAACATGTTCTCTCCTACATACGGAGACTGTCCTTACAAAGAGATGGGGGTGGATACAGCTAGAACATCAGTGACACGCTGCAGAAGCAAACCCATCTGAGACCAGTCACAAGATCTGTTGTGTAAGTCCCGGACAAATAACTGAGGTCCCTTGTATTCTAACCCTAAGTCCACCTGTGACAGCACAGGCATCTCCCAAATGTCCTCTGTATCTCATTAGATTAATAATGTTTCTTTAATTTAATCCTGGCACAAAAAGAACCATGAGAGAATAATCTCACTCCCTGTCTTCAAACGGAATGTAGTCCCTCCTGCAGAGATGAGACAAAGGAGCCCAGAGGGCTTGGTTAAAATTGCTGTGTGGTGAGCAGCTGCAGACTAGAAGGTTCTAACATCGGAGAGAACAAGCTGGAGCTGCCAGGACCGTCACCCCCTATCGGTTAGGACAGAGTACCTAAGATGGCACACCCCTACTCTGCCCACCATGCTTTCCCACCACCTCTTCTGCAGTATTTTCAGTCTTTCTGATCTGGAAGGACTGGAGAACATGCCTGAGAGGTCAGGTAGCCCAAACTGTGACCTGAATGATACCCAGATCAGATTCTCACAAGAATAAGGTGTGGGGCCTGTGTAAGACACCTGGGCTCCCGCAGCTTTGCGCTCACCGCGCTGAAGCCACAGGGCCGTCTCCCACTTACTGATAAGCAATGTCGCAGAAGTCTTGATGGTCTATGTGAAAAGACTGTATGTCTCTGACACGAGTCAAGCAGTCCACGGACTCATTGCAGCTTCTCCCAGCGGTGTGGATGATGATGACGAATTTGGCTGGGAGGTTCATCTGAGAGCAGTGTGTCTCTCTGGCTTCCCACGCAGACCGTGGGGTGATACTGGGGCACGCTGCGGTAAAATGAAAAGCCACGGGGATGAAAATTTGCTTTGTACTCTCATGAACCACCATACAGCCAAAGGCCAGTCCGCACCAGTCTCTCACCAGTGCTTTGTACTCTCATGGACCACCATACAGCCAAAGGCCAGTCCGCACCAGCCTCTCGCCAGTGCTTTGTACTCTCATGGACCACCATACAGCCAAAGGCCAGTCCGCACCAGCCTCTCACCAGTGCTTTGTACTCTCATGAACCACCATACAGCCAAAGGCCAGTCCACACCAGTCTCTCACCAGTGCCCTGCGTGTGAACTTGGTAGGAGTTTGGAAAGGCCAGACACCCAGATCAGGACACTTGAGTAAAAAGCATGGATTTTAATGATGTAAGAACCAATATGAAAGCAGAAAGAGACAGACTGGCCAGACAGAGGCGTGACTGTTTTCTTCGCAACACAGGATGTCTACATGCTTACAAGTGTGCCATACAACACGGTGGGTCTGTGTAAATCAACTCACTCTTTAACAGATCGAGCTGATGTGGAAATAATATACAGTCTACAAAGAACTCACAGTGTTAATGAATTATCATTGTGATCAAAAGCATCAAGCCCATGATGGGGAAACCCACAGAAACAGCTGACCTGAGCTAGTGGGAGTTCACTGACTCCTGACTGACAGCCAGGGAACCTGCATAGGCCCAAACTAGGCCCTCTGAATGTGGGTGACAATTATGTGGCTGGGACAGTCTGTGGAGCCACTGACAGTGGGACCAGGATTTATCCTGAGTACTTGAACTGACATTTTGGAGCTCATTCTCTTTGGACAAATATAGGCTGGGGAGGGGGGCTTAGTCCTGTCTCAAAGCGATGTGTCAGACTTTGTTGACTCCCTATGAGAAGAAAGCCTTACCCCCTCTGAGGAGGGATTGGGGGTGAGGTGGGTGTGAGGTTGGGTAGGGGGAGGAGGGGAGGGAGTGAGAACTGGGCTTGGTATGTAAAATGAGAAAATATTGTCTATAAATAAATAAATAAGGTGGAAATATAAAAAAGAAAAATACTACCCACTCAAAAGTAAGAAAATTTTTATTTAGAGATTTATAATTTCAAAAAAACAAATTTTAAAATATCACTGGATCAGAGAGAAAGGCTGTGTTAGCAGAGAGCTAAACTGCTGAAAAGTGCTCATTAATTTGATTGGTTTTAATTTACTGATCACTCTTTCCAAACTAGCACATTATTTTCATCATTTGGTTTCTTAGAATAATGATTCTCATATCAGCATTGGCTGTAAATTCAAATTTTTCTAAGCACCACGGTCATGGAAAAGGTGGCTGGTTTTGGAAAGGTGGGGGGATGAGTGTGGGTGTGAGTGTGTCGGAGTGAATGTATGCAGGTGTATGTGGGGAGGTGAGTGTGTGTGGGTGTATGTATGTGGGTGTGTGGGTGGGTATGGGTGAGTGTGGGGGGGGTGTTTATGGGTGGGGGGGGGTGAGTGTGTGTGTGTGGTGTGTGTGTGTATGTGGGTGTGGGTGAGTGGGGGGGTATATGGGTGGGTGGGTGGGTGTGGTGTGTGGGGATGAGTGGGTGTGGGTGTGTGTGTATGTGGGTGTGGGGGGTGAGTGTATGTGGGTGTGTGTATGTGGGTGTGTGGGTGGGTATGGGTGAGTGTGGGAGGCTGTATATGGGTGGCTGTGTGGGTGTGGGGGGTGAGTGGGTGTGTGTGGTGTGGGTGTGGGGGTGTGGGTGTGGGTGAGTGTGTGTGGGGTATATGGGTGGGTGGGTGGGTGGGTGTGGTGTATGGGGGTGAGTGGGTGTGTGTATGTGGGTGTGGGGGGTGAGTGTATGTGGGTGAGTGTGGGGGGTGAGTGGGTGTGTGTGGTGTGTGTGTGTTTATGGGTGTGGGTGAGTGTGGGGGGTATATGGGTGGGTGGGTGGGTGTAGTGGGTGGAGGTGAGTGGGTGTGGGTGTGTGTGTATGTGGGTGTGGGGGGGGTGAGTGTATGTGGGTGAGTGTGGGGGTGTGTATGTGGGTGTGTGTGGGATGGGGTGTGCATTCCCACAATATGTGACTACGTCTACTCCACTCCACACCCTACTTTCCCCTCTCCCTTCCATACTTTCTAACACACTTCATCTGTTGCTTGTTCATGCTCTTACTTTCCTCACTGAAGCATGGGTTCCTTCATGGAGAGAGTTTTGTCTGACTTTTTTCACAGATGTATGATAAATCTGAAGGCTTCATGCATCTTGTAGACTCAGCAGAAATGTGAGTACACATATATTAGTGGCAAGAAAGGGTCTGTGACAACACCACATTGTCTGGTGGGATGGAGAGCCAGGGAACACACTTCTCTGACTTCTCTGACTAATAGGGATGCCGTTCAGTAGTGGAGTGCTCGCCTAGCATGTCCACACCCCAATTAAATCCTCAATGACAAAAAAAGTAATAATAACTTCCCTGATTTCATAGCTATGATACATGTGAGATGTTCTTGGCCCAAGAAACCCTTGGGAGCCTAAAAGGAAAACTCACCCAAATGCAGCTTGTCAGGGGCAGTGTAGAGACACGTGGACTGGGCTGAAGGCCTTACCTTTCTTGGGCGTCTCTGAATGTTGAGGAATCAAGCAGGTCTCTTCTTTTAAGAGAAGTGGCTGGATGTACCGGGGTGACAGGTAGCCATTCTGGACAGCGTGGTCGATCAGGTCCTTTGCAGCTGATAAAGCAGCGGGAGTGGGGCTGTTGCCTTCATGAGAGTAACATGAAAGGAAATCTGTCAGGAGGAACTCCAACCCAGACAGCAGCAGCAACAGGGAGGACCCAGACACCTCCTGTGAGTGACTGGTAGACTGGTAGACGAAGAGAAAAGACAGACAGAAAGCCTGAGAGAGAACTACTTGGTCAGAACTCCAGGCAACCACAACTAGGAACCTCTTCTAAGGGACAAACTGTGACTGTTTATTCTGCCTTTAAATAGAAGGTTAAAAATCAGCTGAAAGATACGTGAGGAGAGACTTGCTTGACCAAGTCAGAAGGACCCTAACCTGTGGAAAAGGGTCACAGTATTTACTGAGTAACTGCAGGATCAGGCATGCCTTAAACTCTTTTATGTCCATTAACCCATATATTCCTTGCTGAACCTCCCTATAACACGTGCTATTAAGCTCCGCAATAAGGAGCAGCTTGTTGGTGGCTACCTCTCACTGACATTAGCTTTCGGCACCACCCCTGCACCCTGCTCTGCTCTGGTTGGAAGTGGATGGTCAAAAATTCCTCTGACTCTCCAACTGTGCCTGCTAACCTCTTTTTTGTCTCTATCAACAAAGATATTGAAAGAAGAAATAATCCATGCTGTCTGCCTCCGGCAACTAAAATATCAGTGGTAGACGATTCAGATTCCATTGACCATAACTGTGAACTCAATGCCCGTGGCAACTGCAGCAATATATACACAAGAATAGACTAGAGGAGGACAACCTGCATCTCACAGAGGCCACTGCAGGAAGGATTTCCAGAGACGGGGATATCAGAGATGATACGGACAAGGAAGGCTAAAAAGATGTGACTGTGGAGGCAAGAGGTGAATTAAGGGTGAATTAAGACTTCTGAGTCTGGAGGGATGACCATTACCTATTTTACTGCCGAAGAAGGCAATGCCCAGGGAGACATTACTGTAGCCTGGAGCATGCAAGCCTTGGACATGCCAACCGACACCTTCGTACACATTGCCATCGTCCCCAACCAGGAAGCTGCCAAGCAAAAATATGCAGATTTAGTGGTAAACCTCTGTATTGAGGAAATTCACTTTCCTAAAGTGGTCTTAGAGGCTCATAAAAAAGTGAAGTTTTAATAATATAATAATGAAGGACAAAAGAGACAATTTCGGACAGCCTAAAGAAATAGGAATATATTTCAATTTTGGTTTTGTCTTTGATTACAGGTGTTTTCCAGACTCACTTGAAGAAAGAAAGAAAGAAAGAAAGAAAGAAAGAAAGAAAGAAAGAAAGAAAGAAAGAAAGAAGGAAGGAAGGAAGGAAGGAAGGAAGGAAGGAAGGAAGGAAGGAAAAGAAAGAAAGGCATGTACCACCACTGCCTTTAATCCCAGCACTCGGGAGGTAGAGGCAGGCAGAGAGATCTCGGTGAGTTCAAAGCCTGGTCTACAGAGCCAGTTCCAGGACAGTTGGAGCTGTCACACAGAAACTCTACCTCTCCCCGCCCCCTCCCCCCAAAATTACTCACTTTGCTCAAAGTGAAATCTGAATGTGTGACTCTCCAGGACCTGAAGACAACTATCTTTTCCTGCTGGTTAATTCATTTTGTTGCTGTTGTTATTTGGGAGTGGGCAGCCTTTGAAACATGATCTCTCCCTGTTACCTAGGCTAGCCTGGAACTTACTGCACAGCCTCAGCTGGCCTTGAGGTCACTGAAGTCCTCCTGCTTCAGCCTCCTAAGAGCTGCGGTTACAGCCGGGCGTGAGGACATCCAACGTAGTCCACCATGCTCTTGTTTTTAACCATAGGAGCAAGCACTTGAGCCTTCTTTAAAACAATTACCTACAACTCAAGAATTTCCTTAAACCCACTCCTCACAGATCCTGTAGGCTCTGAATCCCAGGAATATATTTTGTCTTGTTTTAAAATCACGTCAATATTCTTTTATTCTACCCCTTCTTCTATTTCTGTTCATTCTGCTGTTCTCTGCTTACCAATTCACCTTGAAAATGGTGTTTCATAACTCTTGCTAGAGTCAGCAGTTTACTAGACTGTGAATTCCAACGCGAACTGAATGCAGCAAGAACACTTTCCAGGGTCAAGTGAAGCCCTGCTCACCTGAAGGCTCTGTCACCGGACACCGAGAATCGGGCACCTGAAGTGTGCCCACCATGTCTCTGCTTTTTGGTGTTTCCAGCAGGTTCCTTTGTCACTTCTGCAGAGTCCTTTCTTAGTTCATATCACCCCTCCCTACATCTGCAGTAACCACACTATCAAAAGGAGGTGTGCATTGTCACTGTAGAAACCTGATTGTTTAGAGACAGAGCCATTGAAACCACCAAGAAACACAAGGACTGAAATAAGCAACACTTCAGGAACAACAATGTGGTGACGGGGGACAGGGACAGACAGATAAACCGTGTCTAACAAAGTCAACACAGCTTCCATGGAGGACTGAGCAGAGGTCCCTGGCAAGGAACAGATGCAGGCTGTACGGCCTGTCTCCGGCTGTGCTTGCACACTGAGGCTTCAGTCTGAAAGTGTGTGGAAGCAGAGATCATCCTTTCCAAAACGGAGTCTTTGCAACTTATTTCTACTTGTTTTTTAACCCCCAACCCTGCTCTTTCTCTTCATCTACTTGTGAGTGTTCTCTTTCTTGAGGCTAATGAGAAAGACCTGGGGGTCTTGCATAAACCCTCAGAGTAGATACTCTTCGTGCCTTGCACTCATTTAAACATGGGCTCTCCTCCCCACCATCCCCCACCCATGTCCACTCATCCCCTTGTGATACCCAGTGGTCATTCAGAGTACTAAATGGGAAAATATTTTATGAGTGTGAGTCCTGACTGGAAGGGAAGGGGATTGGGCTATATAAACATGTAGTCTCAACACAATTGTGAACCATGTCCCTTGATATGTGCTACTTTAAAGAACTTCTTTGGTGTCCATAGACTATGGCATTCTCGTTTAGGTAATAAAGATAGCAATAGGGGAAAGATAGATTCTCTTCCCCTACTGCTCCTAACTGGTTGATAGCAATGAAGCCCTTTGTGAGCCATCATGCTGGGGGTTCCCACGGTGGCTGCTGTGGTTTTGTAACCTTCTGCGTGTTCTTTCAGGGTCACCCAGCATAAAAGCACCCACAGGGTTGTTCCTTCTAATGACTTCTGGATTTTGTTTGAGTTCTTTTTTTTTCTAACACTTTTCAGTCACCACAAGCACAACACAAATGAAGCCCAGAAGATGGAAGATACAGAATAAGGAAAACCAGGAGAATTCTATGAGGGGTAGCCTTGAGTGTGGGGTTTGGAGACCGGGGCGGCCCCTTACTTGAAGGCCACATCACACCAGCCTTTGTTGTAGACGGAATGGGATTGTAGGACTCGCACCATCTGGCTGCAGGTGGCCAAATCTCGGCACTCCATCCTGCTGAGCTGCTCTGTGATGAGGTAGGCCACAGGCAGGCTCAGCTGCATGCTGCAGGTGAGGGAGCTCGCCCCCCACTCCTTCCGGGAAACAATGGTAGGACTGCCTGTAAGAGAAACCACAGATGAGCCCGCAGCAGACCATACTTAAGCACTAGCTCCCCCATTGGGACATCTGGAAGCCCTGGAGGGCACTTCATCAGCCACAGCTACCCATTCTCATCTCTATAGGCCAGCTTGGGCTCAGTACCCACCTGGATCTGTACTCAGTTTTGTTAAGTTGTCTGGTTAGTGGGATCCTAACTGCTGATGTTGGGAACCTGTTTGTAGCTTCAAGGGTGTAGATGAGCAATAAGGAGTCCAAGGACCCATGAATGAGCCAAGAGAAAATGATCTTTATTAAATTCTGTCTCTGAGGACAATCACAGGGATCCATGTATTTCTGTCCAGGAACCGGTATATACTTCATAAATCTATTAAGTTTACTCAAGATCATGACAACTATCTTAGTATGTGGCACTATGATGTTACCCATGGGTCTGTTGGTAGGTATGCAGGTGACCCATAGAAAGCAACATTGCTCTCATTAGGGACCAGGGAAGGCTTCAGCGACCCTAGGGCTGAGTTGAGTGAAGGCAGATGTAATGAAAGCCTCACTACGGCAAGAGACAAGGACCATAAAACCCACAGGACCCTCAGAGGTAAAGAAGAGCCATCAGTCAGTGAGTATAGCAGACACAAAGCAGAACTAGGCAACTAACTGAGGGCTAATTCCAACTCACTGCCACCCTTGGGCAAGCCACCTCCCCATCAGACTTTAGAGTCCTCATGCACACCATGGAAAGATCAACCATGCACTCTTTGATCTGCGAGTTTCTTCAACACTAACTCTGCATGTAACCCAGTAACATGTCTATCTAAGGGTAGAAGGCAGAGAGCTAGCTGAATTGTGTCAGACAACATGAAAATTTGCCCAGAATTTAAGAAGTACCAAACTCAAGTTCAAGTAATTCAACAGAATTCACATATATTTACCTGAGGCCTAATCACTTCATAAAATCATAAAACATATTGCAGTGGCGTCAAGGCAGCCCTGCACCAACACAATTGGTATTTATTTACAAATGTGAACTCTGGGCGGGGTTAACTTGGTGATGAGGATAATGATGATGATGGTGGTGATGATGATGATGATGGTGGTGGTGGTGATGATGATGGTGGAGAAATGGTATGGCGGTTAGAGCTACAAATTACCTCACCGTCATGATCTGAACGATGCGCTAAACCTTTACAGTCAACTTGATTAGACTTGGAATCATTGACGAGACCAGTCTCTAGGCAGGTCCGCAGGGGATTGTCTAGATTAGGTTAGTTGACTGGGAAGCTCGGCCCTGATTTAAAGCAGTACATTCCGTGAGCTGGGGTAGCAGCCTGAATGAGAAGAAGCTGAGCGCCAGCATTCACTGCTCTCTGCTTCACAGCTGTGGAATGCAGAGTTGTTTTGTTTTGCTTTATTTTGAGGCAAGGTTTCTCTGTGTATCTCTGGCTGTCCTGGAACTCACTCTATAGATCAGACTGGCCTCGAACTCACAGAGATCCGCCTGCCTCTGCCTCCTAAATCCCAGGATTAAAGGTGTGCACCACCTCCACCACCACCCAGCTCACAGCTGTGGAAACAGGTGAACAAATGCCTTAAATTCCTGCCACTGTGTCTTCCCACCATTAAAGTATGTGCACACACACATACACACACACACACACACACACACACACTACATGTGTGTGTCCTAAAACTACAAGCCCAAGTAAACCCTTTTCTGAAATATTTTGTCATAGAAAAGCAATCAGTACAATACCTAACTAAATCCCCAGTAACAGATCAGTGATTCTTTTTGATAAATACCTACATGTAGAAACACAGATAAAGAGGCTACTCTGTGACTTGCTGTCACCCTGCAGCTTCCATGATGAGATTTTCCCCTTCCTATTTTTTCTTTTCTCTTCTTTTTCTCTTAAATTTTATTTTGTTTTATTTTGGGGTGGGGAGGGAGATGGGTGGGATCAGGTAGCATGATGTGAAAGACACAAAGAATAAGTAAAAATTAATTAAGGAATTAAAAACAGTGGCTGATATCATTCTCGTTTCACTAATGCGATTAAGAGTCACATGCTAGCCTGTGGAGGATCACAACAGCTGGCAGGACACGGATGCCAATCTGTCAGTCCCAGAGCAATGCGACACATGACAAAGCCAAACATGCCCTAGTAAAGACAACACTGGGAGCGTTTTTCTTTCTCCACACGAGGACAGTTGCGTGTCAGTCAGCAAGGACACTCTGATAAGACGAAAGAAAACTTACCGTACACCAGGAGACCGAGAGCAGAGACAACAAGGAGCCTGGGCAGCATCTTCAAGCGGTCCCAGGACACCAACAGCGAGTCGTACCAACAGTCCTGGGGGGTACTGGCCCTGGCGAACACAGACAGTTACCATGACTGTGCTAAGTGCACAGCACCCTGTCTGTTTCCCTACTCCCCATGTGCCTCCTCAGGGCTAGCTCTTGGCTCAGGCTTCTCAGGGTCACCCGCACACCTCAGTTGTTCCATAGATACAAGGAGCCTAATGTCCGTAGCTAGCAGGCCTTCTCCACAGTCACTTTCTACAGCCCAGGAGACACCTGCTCCTTGCAGTGAATATGGCTGATATTAAGCCTTCCATGGCAGACAAACACAATTTCTAAAGTTCTTCAGTAGCAGTAATAAGGACCCTGTATAGATATTTTCATTTCTAGTGTGGCAGTTTTATATTTGGCCCTTATGAAATCCCTGTAAGACAATTATCATAAAGACTATTTTTTAAAACAGAATATACAGCATTGAATAAGAAGTAGAGGCAGGAACGATCTCTATCACATGACCCATTGGACAATCATAAGTACGGAAAGTCATAGAGTTAAGTTCCCTATTCCAAATTTCTGGAGGAACAAGCAGTCAGTCTCTAACATGAAAATAAAAACCAGCTGCTCCCACTCACTGGACACATCCTGTGCTCCAAATACTGTGTGAGGACTCTTTAGACACTTCAGTAAGTCTCACAGTGACCTGTGAGGGCGTGTGTCCAAGAGTTTAAGTCATGTGTCCAAAATTCTCAGATGAGTAGGGACAGAGACCACCCCTCCCAGCCAGATCTGCCACTCTCCGGGGCCTCTAATGGAGACCCCAGTCCTGCCGTTGTGTCTTTTGGTGGAGAGTCTCAGCATGGGAACTGGGGATAAAGTGCAGGATGACTTTGGTGTGCCTCAGACCACGAATCCTGTTTGCCTTTGTAGGAAGAAATGAACTTCTTACTCATGCTCCGTGTGAGATATTCACGCGCTATGTTGCCAACCAAGTCTTCAGCTTTCCCCAGTTGAGAAACAATGCAGGAGGCGTGGGGGCGAACGCCGTAGATGTCACCCTGCACTATCTTGACAGTACAATTGACACCTCCAATGGAAATGTTTAACGTTACAGCTTAAGGATTGAGCATATGAAGGATTCTTGAGCAACACAAAAACATCAAATAACACACGAACTCCCATTCAATGAGAAACTCTCCTACGGCCACCAGCCCACCTCAGATGGGCCTATCATAATGGGCAGTATCTCCATTGTATGGGAGAGAAAACCAATGTCTTCATCAACCAACAGAGACAAGAACCAGCTTGTGAATAGCAGAACCACTGCCAGCCAGCCTCCCAGAAAACTACTAGAAAAGTGTGCCAACAGAAAGTTTGGATTCTGGTCGTGTAACCTTTTTACTTCCCTAACCGTGACTTCTAATGTGACAAGCCATACCTCTGCCTTGTTGGGCCGTACGCCTGAACTCTGAAAGATGAAAGCAGGCCTGACCTTGCAGGCCGCTGAACTGATGGCCTCTCCCTACTCTCACATTGCAATAAATCCTCTATCCATAAAAGAAACAGTAGGTAAAGTCTCAAGACTTGAAAGTAAGGAAGAAATTGTGTAGAGGTAAATTCACAACCAAACGTCTATGCAAGTAGATAAAGGACTTCTAGTACCTAATTCATCTAGAAAAGAAAAGAAAGCCTTCCTGTTTGGAGGACAGGTTAAACAAGAGAGATAGAACTTCTTCACCACGTTTAGACAGCCACTGAGTGTAGCCTCAAAAGGAAAAGCGGGCATCTAAAGAATGCTCACAGTCATACCTGACCTCCTGTTGTCCCAGCCCAGCAGGGCAGAGTGCAGTCTCCTCTTATTGGCTGTTGGTTTCCTTCTTTAGCTGAGGCCTCCAGTCCCTGCCCCTTCTCCAGCAGGTGTCTCCTCCTCCAGCCTTTGCTTTCTGTAGCTCTGGAAGGACACTTCCTCCCTGGGAATACAGCACTGGCTTCACGAAGAAGAGCAGACAGTGAGAAGTCCCCCTAACAAAAGCTAGACGGACGCCTGGGGCTCATGGCTTCCTTGCTGCACTGAGAGGAAGCAGATGAAATAAGGCTAGGGCTTACAGCACCTGGGGAAAACCCAGTGAATAACCCAGGTTCCTCCTCCCTGGGTGAGACCTGGATTGCCACACACTTTAGAGTGTCTTCCTAATAGCTCCCCTCAATAAGCCTACCACACTCTGGGGAAAGGAGGTTTCAAAGACCATTGGTTGTTATCTAGACAATCGTTCTCAGTAACATCTTCTAGATGTAGAGATGGAAAAGGGCCAGGATCTAGTCCTAATTTGATTGGATGCATATTCTGTTTTTGCTCTGCCTTCTCTTGTGCTTAAATGGCTCCTCTCCTGTGACCACAGCACAGCACCGCAAACACATCAAGACACTTGCTTTGGTATGCACCAGCAGAGATAACCCCTTAACAAAAAAGGCCCTTTTAAAAGAATCCCTACCTTTGGGTGGCCTGAATTTATAGACCTTACATTGGAAGACAAGAGTTTTCCTCAGTTTTGCATCTGATTAGTACACTGTGTCCACTGAAAGGGGATACACACTTTCAACCTTGTAATTACACTGTCTATTAAGGACTGTATCCTTTCAAAGCATTTCCACAAACATCACCAGGTGTCATTAGGGTACATAATGGCTCCGCATTCTACCTGCGTAATGAGAATCTAGAGTAACTGTGTTCATTTAAGGAACCCAAAATCTGGAGAAAGCTTGCCATGACTTAATATCCGAAAGATTTGGAGCCAGCAGCAAAGGTGAAAATCTCATCACGGCACTGAACTCACCAGACTTTAGACACCCCTATTACTTCTCTGAGTCTGTTTCCTCAGCTGCCAGGTAGAAATGACAATGTTTACACAACTGTCGTGAAGATTCATGAACGCTGAAAGCATGTGCGTATAGAAAGGACTCCACAAAGGCTGGCAAGCCCACGACAGGGGCTCCTGGTGGGACACTGCCTCTGTGGCTCTGTTCTTGTTGATTTCAAACCCAAATACACTTCCTTCTGCCGTCCCCCACCCCCACCTGGTCTTCATCCAGCCCAGCACCAACTTGCCTGAGCAATCTTGGGACCCTTAGGGGAGACCCATTCAGTCAAAATGACACTTTGGGTATTCTAATAAAGCAATACAAAATACCAAGGAGTACATTCCTTGGGCTCCTGGGATTCAGTATGCATCCGTTTAACACTCAGTGGAAACTACACACAGAAGGATCTAGGTGTTCTGTATGGAAGGGTAGGTGAGGGTCCCGAGTCTGCCAGGAGTTGGTCTGCTGGGGTGTGTGTGTGTGGTGCTGAGTTACTGGAATCTCCATCCCTCACTCCTTAGCGTCTTCAGGGTGGTGCTATGCCAGGGTTATCATTATTTTTCATGCATTTAGTATAATACTGTGTTAGAGGAAGTTTCTCCAGCATTTTTTTCAGTTATATTCCTTTTCTAGGAAATGCAGAACTGTTTTTTTCATCGTTTACTTCCAAGTTTTTAATCAAAGAAGTGAATTCAAGCGGCCTCCTAGTATTTTCCTACCCCCTAACTTTGGGGTTTGGGGTCATCATGAACGAACAGACTTAAAGCTAATGATCAGACTCACTGAAGTTATTGTTGTTGATGTAAGAATTGTTCCATTAGAATTGGTGCCAAAATTTTCTAATTAGACAGTATAAATCTCCCAATTGCTTTTTATGCAACTTGAGAAATATTTGCCAGCCTTATTCAGTGATTCTCAACCTGTGGGCTATGACCCCTTTGACAAACCTCTATCTCCAAAAATATTTGCACTATGATTCATAACAGTAGCAAAATTACAGTTATGAAGTGGAAACGAAAAGAATCTTATAGTTTGGGGCCAACAGAGCATGAGGAACTAAATTAAAGGGTCGCAGCATTAGGAAGGTTGAGAACCACAATAAGGCCCTTATTGCTCCCTGATATATAAAATGTTTCAGCTTCTATGTTACCTGCTCCACTCTTCAAATCAGCCATTTCTCCAAGAAACACTGACTGCTGGAAGGTGATACCCAGTGACCACAAATCCGGTACCAAGGGTGTTTATTTAATGCTAAGGATGTTCTCGACAGCTATCAATTTGAACCAGTCTATTCAGATATGAAGTAAATCATTGAGAATCAAAGTTTTAAAAATTTTATTTTGGGACTGGAGAAATGGCTCCTCTGGTGCCCTCTTCTGGCCTGCAGGCAGACATGCAGGTAGAACACTGTATACCTAATACATTTTTAAAAAAATAAAATAAAAACTTTATTTCGTGGAGTTTTCCAATTCTGACCTCTATTTTTCTTTATTATGAAAATATTAATGGATTTAATATAATTTTTAACAAACAAAAATCATTAAGTAAAACTTTGATTTCTCTGTCTTATTGCTGTAGCAATGTGGGGCTAGTGTGCTGGGCTGGTACAGGGGTAGTCTAGGAGTGTGACCTTGGCATGGACAGGTTAGCAAGTAACTCATCGGGTTGGACCTGTGTGAGAGTCCAGCGCTAGGTCCGGGAATGGGAGGCTTGCACAGACAGCAGGGTTCTGTCCCTGGTCACTCTACCAGTCTAAGCTGTTCCACGGGTGAATTGAGATCACTGGTGTTGAGATTTACTACTGAGAGGTGTCCCCTACTCCCTATCATTTTGTTGGCGTAGTATTCGGGCCCTAGTCTTTTTTTGTTTGGTAAGTGCCTTAGCTTCGCATGTGTTTTCCTCCTGTCGTCTCTTGATATTTTTACCTTTCTCAGACTGAAATATTCTTTCCAGTATCTTCTATAGGACTGGATCATTACTGGTCATAACTTCTCTTTAGCCTGTTATGACAGATAGTTTTGTTGATTTGGCAATTGTGGTCTATCAAAGTTTGAGAGACACCAGTCTATTCCCTTACTGCTTTCATGGTTTCAGTTGTAAAACGGGGTACAGACCTAAAGAGAGAACTCTCAACACAGGATTCTAAAATGGCTGAAAGACTCTTAAAGAGATGCTCAACATCCTTAGTCATCAGAGAAATGCAAATCAAAACAGCTCTGAGATTCCATCTTACACCTGTCAAAACAGCCAAGATCAAAAACACTGATGATAACTTATGCTGGAGAGGTTGTGGGGTAAAGGGAACACTTCTGCATTACTGGTACAGCACCTTTGGATATCAGTATGGCGATTTCTCAGAAAATTAAGAAACAACCTACCTCAAGACCCAGCAATACCACTTTTGGTTATATACCCAAAGAATGCTCAATCATACCACAAGGATGTGTGTTCAACTATGTTCATAGCAGCACTATTTGTAATAGCCAGAATCTATGAACAACCTAAATGTCCCTCGACCAAAGAATAGATAAAGAAGATGTGGTACATTTAGGGCTGGAGAGATGGCTCAGTGGTTAAGAGCACTGGATGCTCTTCTAGAGGTCCTGAGTTCAATTCCCAGCAACCATGTGGTGACTCACAACCATCTGTAATGAGATCTGGCACCCTCCTCTGGCGTGTGGGCATGCATGGAGGCAGAATATTGTATACATAATAAATAAATAAATCTTTAAAAAAAAGATGTGTTACATTTATACAATGGAGTACTATACAGCAGAAAAAATAATATCTTGAAATCTGTGAGGAAATGAATGGATCTAGAAATCATCATATTGAGTGAGGTAACCCAGATCTAGAAAGACAAATAGAATACGTACTCACTCATAAGTGGCTTTTAGACATAAAACAAACAAACAAACAAATAACAAAACAACCAGACTACAATTCACAATCCCAGAGAGCTTAGACAGCAAAGAGGACCTTAAGAGAGAAATACATGGATCTAATCTATATGAGAAGTAGAAAAAGACAAGATCTCCTGAGTAAATTGGGAGCATGGGGACCATGGAAGAGAATAGAAGGGGAGGGGGAGGAA